GCCCCCCCGCCGACGCCCTAGCGGCGCGCGCCCGTGCCCCCGCGCGCGTATGCGGATACCGGCGCCTCGCCTCGCCTCGCCTCGCCTCCTGTCCACAGGATGTTGGAAACACCAATTTAGGTTGCCAAATTGGGCGTTCAATGCACGGACATCCTCGGCGCGCGGTGGGTCGCTCGTCGACCAGGCCTACGCTTAGGTCGGGTATGTCCCCTACAGGCGGATTGTGGACGAAGAAAGAAAAATATACCACAAATATTCCAAAAGTTACCAAAAATAAAATCGATCCCATACCATGTTTAAATAGTTTATGTCGTGCACTGAACTGGCCGAGGGCGCAGGAGGCATTGATCATCAAGTCCCCACGGGGCGCATCAACCATGCGCCGCGGTGGCGAAGGGACACTTATCACCAAGACCCTTCAGACGCCTTGGTCCAGCGTTAGGTCGCGCCTGTCCCTCTACAGGACGAAGATTCAAGAATAGCCAATACACAGTCTGGGGACGATGCTTGACTATTTGTTCGCAACTTGGGGGTCTGTTTTGACAATGCTTTCTGTTTCGTCCACAATCCGCCTGTAGGGGCACACGTCCGACCTGAGCCCAGCGCCGTTCAGCAGGAGCAGAGCGGTGGGAAGCCCGTGATCTTGCATCTCGCCATTGGCTTGAATATCCTGCCCCAGTCGATGGTGCTGCCGAACAGCTGCAGCGGCCGCCAGCCGCTCCAAGCTGGGAGTCCAGTGAAGCCCATGCGAGACTCCTACGTGGTGCGGATATCCTTCGCGTGGGCCGTAAACCTTTCCTATGAAAGAGCGCGCCCGCAGCGCCGGGAATAAGTAAAGGGGCCCCAGCTTCAAGCTATCCCCCCCTCCCTTCCAAAAGGGGGGGAGCTTCCGAAGCCACCCCACCCTCCCCTCCCTTATGCAAGGGTTGCGCTAGAGAACGCATTGGAGAATAATGTCGACCCCTGGTTCGTTTTCTTGTTTTCATGTTTTCTCGGCCCCTGGTTCGTAGCCTCGTTTTCTCGGGCCCCGATTCCTTTTGATCGTTTTCTCGTTTTCTCGGCTCCTGGTTCGTTTTCTTGTTTTCTCGTGTTTTCGGCCCCTGGGCCGCGGTCTCGTTTTCTCTGACCTTGGTTAGTGTTCTCGTTTTCTCGTTTTCTCTGCCCCTGGGTCGTGGTCTCGTCTTCTCGGACCGTGCTTAGTTTTCTCGTTTTCTCGGCCCCTGGGTCGTTTTCTCGGGCGCTGGTTCGCATTTTCGTTTTCTCGCTGTCTCGGCCCCTGGGCCGTGGTCTCGTTTTCTCTGACCCTGGTTCGTGTTTTCGTTTTCTTGTTTTCTCGGCTCCTGGGTCGTGGTCCAGTTTTCTCGAACCAAGCATGTTCCTGTGATCTCGGCCTTTGGGTCGTGGTTTCGTCAGACCCTGGTTAGTTTTCTCGTCTTCTCGGCCCCTGGGTAGTGGGTAGTGTTCTCGTTTCCTCGGCCCCTGGGTCGTGGTCTAGTGTTCTCGGGGCCTGGTTTGTTGTTTTGTTATTTGTGTTCTCGGCCCCTGGGCCGTGGTCTCGTTTTCTCTGACCTTGGTTCGTGTTCTCGTTGTCTTGTTTTCTCGGCCACTGGTTCGTAGTCTCGTTTTTCTCGGACCCTGATTCCTTTGTTCGTTTTCTCGTGTTCCCGGCCCCTGGGTCGTGCTTGTATTTTCTCTGACCTTGGTTCGTGGTCTCGTTTGCTCGGACGCTGGTTCGTTTTCTTGTGTTCTCGGCCCTTGGGTCGTGGTCACGTTTTCTCGGACCCTGGTGCGTTGTCTCGTTTTCTCTGTTTCTGTGTGTTTGTGTCGTTTTCTCTGACCCTGGTTCGTGTTCTCGTTTTCTTGTTTTCTCGGCCGCTGGGTCGTGGTTTCATTTTTCCTCGCACCCTGGTTAGTTGTATCGTTTTCTCGTGTTCTCGGACCCTGGGTCGTGGTCTCGTTTTCTTTGACCCTGGTTCAGTGTTTGTGTTCTCAGCCCCTGGATCGTGGTCCCGTGTTCTCGGGCTCTGGCTCGATTTCTCGTGTTCTCTGTTTCTCGGCCCCTGGATTGTGGTTTTGTTTGTTTCTGGCCTTGGTTTGTTTCTTCGTTTCCTTGTTTTTTCGGCCCCTGCCTGGGTCGTGGTCTCGTTTTCTCGGACGCTGAGTTGTTTCCTCGTGTTCCCAGCCCTTGGGTCGTAGTCCCGTTTTCTCGGACCTTGGTGTGTTTCACGTGTTCTGGTTTTCTCGGCCCCTGGGTCGTGGTCTCGTTAGCTCGGGTTGTGGTTCGTTGTCTCGTGTTCTCGGCCCGTGGGTTTTTGTCTCGTTTTCTCGGGCGCTGGTTCGGTGTCTTGTTTTCTCGTTTTCTCGGCGGTACTGTTTTCTCTGACCCTGGTTCGTGTTCTCGTTTTCTTGTTTTCTCGGCTCCTGGGTCGTGGTCCAGTTTTCTCGGACCTTGGTTTGTTTCCTCGTTTTCGCGTTTTCTCTGCCCCTTGGTCGTGGTCTCGTTTTCTCGGACCCCGTTTCGTTTTCTCGTTGTCTCGGCCCCTGGGTCGTGGTTTCATTTTCTCGGGCCCTGGTTCGTTTTCTCGTTTTCTCTGCCCCTGGGCCTCTCCTCCCCCTCTTCCTCCTCCTCCTCTTTCTCCTCCTCCTCCTTCTCCTCCTCCTACTCCTCCTCCTCCTCTTCGTTCTCTTCCTCTTCGTCCTCCTCCACCTCCTCCTCCTCCCCCTCTTTCTCATATTTCTCCTCCTTCTCATTATCCTCCTCCTCTTTCTTCTCCTCGTCCTCCTCCTCCTCGTCCTCCTCCTCCTCCTCCTCCTCTTCCTCCTCCTCCTCCTCCTCCTCCTCCTCCGCCGCCTCCTCCTCCTCGTCGTTCTCCTCCTCCGCCTCCTCCTCCTCCTCCTCCTCCTCCTCCTCCTCCTCCTCCTCCTCTCCTCCTCACTTGTCATTATCCTCCCCCTTCGTCGTCGTTGTCCTCCCGCCTCCCCTACTCCTCCTCCTCCTCCTCCGCCACTCTCTCTCTCTCTCTCTCTCTCTTTCCTGCCGCCCCAGAGATCCGGAACGCCGCCCCACGGTCGCCGTCGGAGTTGGCGTCGGTCGGCGGTCGGCGGTCGTTGTCGGTTTCGTCGGCGTCAGTTTCTGCAGCGTGGCCGCTTCGGAGGAGGAAGAGGCACTGAGCGAGACAGCTCTTCTGCCCTTCCTTCGCTTTCGCACATGTTGGGCCTCCTGGGAAGCCCTCGCCTCCACGGCTGCATGCACATCGAAATCCTAGTCAGAACGCATTCCAGGGAAGGTCTTGGGAGCAGCAGTATCAGTACCTCCCTTTTTTCGCATCGGCGTCGGCGGCGGCGTCGTCGTCATTGGCGACAGCATCGGTGTCGTCGTTGTCCTCGTCGTCGTCCGTTTCTGGGGGAGGGGGAAACCCTTCCTCATTGTCCTGGCGATGATCCACCTGTTCCTACTCTTCCTCTTCCTTACCCCCTTACCTGTCCGCCCCTTCCCTTGGTCCATGATCCCTCTGCCATATGTCGTCCTCCTCCTTGTAGTTCTCAACACTTCGCCTCCCTACCTCCCCCCCTCAGCGCTTGCACTCCTTCTCCTATATCGCTTCCACTTGCCACCAGCCCCTGCCTGTCGCACCACCAGAAGTGCAGGTTGGGCGGGCCGGGCGTTGCGCTCGAGGCGCCTTCCCCGTTGACGATGTTGCAGATTGACGGCGCTGGTGCAGGGGGACACCCTGACTGTGGAGCAGAGCCTCGCAAAAAACGTCTCACCCTCCAGTGGGTGCTGACTGCAGACTGCAGCTTCCAACGGGGAGGGGGGTCCGAGCAGCAGGGCTGCAGACGCTCGGCGAGGCGGGGGGGTCCGAGCAGCAGCACCTAAACGCTGTGTTGCTGGACTTCGGCAGTGCGTTGGTTTTCGTTTTGGCAGGGAGATACGGGAAAAACCAAGCTAAAACAAAACGATAAACACTGCTGTTCGACGCGGGCTCGATGTCCCGTCGCGCCCTTATCCGTGCGAATTCGTGTCGGATCCATGTCGGACTGGTCGAATCCGCGCCGGATCCGTGCCGAATCCGGGCCGAATCCGCGCCAAGTCCGCATCGATTCCGCATCGAGTTGTGATGCCGAGATGCTTGCAAAGGTACCAAAACGAGGAATCCCCAAAAAGTGTAGCCAAAAGTCCAAACAGAGGTTCTAGAGTCCATTGCGAAAAAGTCTTCAAAAACTGCTTCGCACGAAAACGCGCCAAAATCAAAGTATGCGAAAAAATGCCGACCGAAATCAAAAACAACCTGTTCCTTGTGATGCATTGCAGCAGTGCTTGCACCATCGACCCGCGACCGAACGGATGGCGAGAGAACGTGCGCTCGAGAGACGTTCAAGCACTCAGCATGCACTTCAGTCCTCCCCCCCCCGCCCCACGAAATGTCCTTTCAGCCCCCATCGCGAGGGGGCGGACGGGGATGGAAAAGAGAGGGGGGAGAACGAGAAGCACATGCTGAGTGCTCGCGCCCCCCATTCTTCTCCCCACGGATCTTGGTTTCAATGATTTTGCAAACCGTCAGCCAGGAGCGGTCAGGGCGACAGGGCGCACCGCAGCGGTCATGAGAAACAGAGCTTCCGCCACGATGCACCCAACTTCCGCCACGATACACGACGATGGGGCCTCAGAGCCTCTCGAGAAAGCCGGGCTCCGAGGCTTCCCATCCTGAACATTAAACTCTGCGTGCCAGGATTGCGCGTCCATCCTTCTCTTCCTCCTAAGTCCTAAGGCCTCATCCTCCCCCATTCTGGCCCTCCTCCTCCATCTCCTCCTCCTCCCTCTCCCCCTCCCCCTCTACTCCTCCTCCTCGTATTTCTGCTCCGTCCTGGGAGCTCCCGCCTCCCTCGGGCGGAAAAGAGCCAGGACGAGCGGACCAGCACTCCTGGCACATACTCGCAGCACGAGCCAGCACGAGCCAGCACGAACGAGCACGCGCCTAGAACAACTTGCCAGGCACTACCTGGAAACGGATGGCACTCTCGGCCTTCTTCTTGAGCGGGGCCGTCAAGCGCGAGCGGTCGATCCTCCTGTCGCTCAAGAGGTTCAGTGCGTTGACGACCGCTGCGCGCAGCTTCTCTTTGTCGGCGGCCGTCTTGAGAGCGTGGAACAGGAGGCCTTGCACGAGCGTGATCGTGGCTTCGTCGAGCAACTTGTCCACACCATTCAAGACATCCACGGCGATCGGGATATTGAACTTCGAGGCCACACCCGTGGCTTGATTCTTCGCCTGGGCGGGCTTCGACCGCGATCCTCGACCCGCGACCCTCGGTCCTCGGTCCTCGATCCTCGATCCTCCATCCACGGTCCTCGATCCTGGACCCTCGATCCCCGATCCTCGGTCCTGGATCCTCGATCCTCGACCCTCGATCCTCGGTCCTTGATCCTCGATCCTCGATCCTCCATCCACGGTCCTCGATCCTGGACCCTCGATCCTCGGTCCTGGATCGAGGACCGAGGGTCGAGGATGGAGGATCGGGGATCGAAGGTCGAGGACCGAGGGACGGGGTCGAGGGCCGAGGATGGTGGAGGACCGAGGGCCGAGGTTCGAGGATCCAGGACCGAGGATCGGGGATCGAAGGTCCAGGAGTCCAGGATCGAAGACCGTGGATGGAGGATCGAGGATCGAGGATCGAGGACCGAGGATCGAGGGTCGGGGATCGAGGATCGAGGTTCGAGGGTCGAATGCCGAGGGTCGAGGGTCAAGAGCGGAGGGTCGGGGGGTCAATGATCGGGGGCCGAGGGCCGAGGGTCGAGAACCGAGTGCGTATGACAGAGGATCGAGGACCGCGGGCCCAGGATCGAGATTCGGGGTTCGAGGGTGGGGGATCGATGCCCTCGGACCCCGAACCTGAATCCTCGATCCTGCACCCTCGATCCTCGATCCGCGACCCCTGGAGCCATCGCCCCTGGCCCCAAAACCATTACTCCTCCACCCTCCTCGTCCAGCCACGGGCTGATCCAGCGCGCCTGGTCGGCTGGATCCTCAACCACATCACTCGCATCGTAGTTCGTCCTCGTCCTCCCTCCTCCCCGTGGCCCCTGGTAGCCCTCCTAGTCTTCATCGGGCATCGTCCCTCATCGTCGGTATCGCCCTTCCTCTCCATCCTCCCTCTCGTGTTAGCCGTTCGCCATCCTCGTAGTCATCGTCGTCATCTGAATCGTCCTCACGATCCTTGGAGAGGGCGTCGATGGCGGGCTTCAGCCCGGCGAGGCGCTTGTCCACGTTGATGCTCCCCTCGGCAAGGTCGCAGAGCGCCTTCCAGGAGAGATTGTCGGCCCCCTCAGACGGCAGCCAGGACTCGCCGTCGGGCCCTCCCAGCTTCATCGGCTCCACGGCCTTGGCGGCCTCGATCATCTCCCTCTCGGACTTGGCGAGCTGGTCCTTGCCCACGAACTGGTCGATCTGGCGAGCCTCCTTCCACACGTTGAGCCAGGCGCCCTCGATGGAGTCGCAGAGCTCGGGGTCGATGTCGTGGATCGGCTTCAGCTGCGAAGACTGCTCCTTGATCCTCGTCATGAGGACCTGCATGGTCGCGAACTCCGTCGATTCGGCCACCGTCTGGACGGCCAAGCCCTCGACAGTCCCCACCTCATTCCCCTCGACCGTCACGCCCAGGCGCACAACGCGCTCAGTCGCGACCACCGTGCCGACAATGTCGCTGGCATACCGCTGCGCCATCACGTGGTGGTTGGAGGGGCTGTCGTCCAACTGCAGGGCATCAACGATAGCTTTGGCACCGCGCTGGCAGTAAACATCGCGCGGCTTGCTGATGGGAGGGGTCATCATCGTGATCGTAAGGGTATCGAGCGACGTGAGAAGATCCGACCTCAGCTGCCCGCTCAGAGTCGAGGCGTCAACCAAGCCAAGAAAACGCTCAATGTCCACGCAGCTGGCCTCGAAGGTGTTGTCATCCTTGAGCTTCGCGAGCGCGGTGCCGATGTCCTGGATCAGGGTTTTGTGCTGCTGGTCACCCGCGACCTTGTCGAACTGCGCCTTCCAGGATGCGACGTCCGCGTTCGTCGGCATGGAATCGGCCAGCGTCTTCACCAGCTTCAGGTAGGCGGCCACGTTCTCATGAGACATAGCCATATCTTTCACCAGCGACAAGCCAGTGCAGACGATCTGCTTGGCGTGCAACAGCACCGCGTTCTCGATGCCAGTCGCCATGCGCCGATCCAGGGCGCAGGTCACCTCTAAGGACCCCCCCTCCCCCCCCCGCCCCCCTGGGAAGGATGTGGGGGAGGGGCGAGGGCGGGAGAGAGATGGAGGGAGGAAGGGGAGGCGGGAGTGAGGAAAGAGAGATTATGAGGGGAGGCGAAATGCCCCCCCTCCACCCGGGAGGAAACGCGATCACACGAGGAAATGAATCCGAAGGGAAACGGGAAGGAGGGGAGGGAAGGAGAGGCAGGCAGGAAGGTCAAAGGGAAAGCACAGCCTGCACAGGCAAGGCGGGGCGGAGAGGGAACGCAGAAGAGCGTTGGTGGGAGACGAGGGCAGGGGGAGGGGAGGGAAGTGAACGGAAGGAGCGGGGCGGGAGGGGAAGGGAAGGTGGGGCGGGGTGGAGAGGGAAGGCAGAAGAGAAACACGGGAGAGAGGGGGGAGAAGGGGAGAACAGAAACCGAGGGGTGTTCCCGCCCGTCGCCTGCCCCGTTCCCTTCCCCGCCTCTTCCCTCGACCTGGCCCAAGGTATAGTAGTAACGATTTTAAGCAGGACTAATAAGGAGGCCCTCTATATTCAAGCTAATCACAGGGGTTCCGTTCACTAGGCACTGGGCGCCTGGGCGGGCGGCGCTCTTAGGTTGTAAGGCGGTTCTGTTCCCAGGTTGTGTAAAAGTTGTTCATAGTGTTCTAACAGTTCGTTTGAAACCACATGGTGCTAATCACGCAATTATGAGTAATCGCACACGCACTCTCTCCCTCTCTCTCGCCGCACACATTACGAGGATAACGGGAAACGAACCCCGTGCGTCCACGGCAAGTCCGCCACCGCACCGCCGCGCGGCATGAGTTGGAATGTCCTCAGGGCCCTCGTGGCCATCAACCCCCAGTCCTGAGAGGGGCCCGAGACGGCCCACGGAGCCCCCAAGCCCAAGAAGGCCCAACAGGCCGTGAGAACACCACACAGGGGCTCGGGGGAAGCCGAACCGACGCTTCGAGTTCTCGGCACCCCAGGGCCGCCAATAGGTCCCCAACAGGCACCCGAAAAAGGGTCCTGCAGCGCCCAGGGTGCCCGACACGCTTCCAAGTACCCCCTACGAAGCCTCCCTGAGAAGCCCACAGGAGGCTTCAAAACTAGCGCCACCGCAACCCCTGAGAGCCCGCCGAAGAAACCCCACGAGGCAGCCCCGAAGACCCCAATCCATGAACCAGGCACGGTGGCGGGATGGGCCGAAGGCCATGGGGATACTGCAGAGGGGTGACGAAGGGGAAACGGCGGGGGGCCGACGGCGCGCCCCGCGCAGCCGAGGACGGGACCAGTGGATGGGGCACGGGACAGTTGGGCTGGCGCGGTGGCTCGACGCGCCGCAGGCAGCTGGATGAACGGTTGACCGCAGAGAACCCCGCCCTCGAGCGCGCGACCCCGTGCGCGCCTGGCGCGCGCCCGCGGGGCCACTCGCCGCCAGCGGAAGCAGTCGCGCCGCCAAGGGCGGGATGGGGGGGGGGAACAACGCTTTGGGAGCGCGCGCATGACATACGTTGATGGGCATCGCGAGAGAAAGGCGAAGTGACGGGCGGGGAAAGGCAGTTCTGTCGTGCTGCATGCAAACTTAAAGCCACGAGGGGGTGTGGAGGGAAGCAATGCGCAAACGGAGCATCGCGGACGCATATGATTATTGAAAGACGCGCAGAATGACCATCAGCATTCTCGTCCTCCACCACAATCACCACAACCAGTACCATCACCATCACCACCACCACCATCATCATCCTGACCATCACCATCCTCGCCACCATTACCGCCATCACCACCACCACCACCACCACCTCCATCGCCATCACCACCACCATCACCATCACCACCACCATTACCAGCACCACCACCACCAGCACCACCACCACCACCATCGCCTTCAAAACCAGCACCACCACCACCACAACCATCGCCGCCATCACCACCGACCAACACCACCATCATCATCATCATCATCACCGTCGCCACCAACACCAACCAATTGCCCCAACCAGGTTCGGCAAGTGTGCCTTCTATGTAGGCTTCCTAAGGTCTTGGGCCCTAAGGCCCTAGGGCCACCATGGCCACCCCCCGCGTGTTCCACCCCCTCAACCCCCTCCTCCTCCTTCCCCCCTCCGCCCTCCCCCCTCGGCCCTCCGCCATCCGCCCTCGCCCCTCCGCCCTCCGCATCCTCCTCTCCATCCATCCTCCTCCTCCTCCTCCCACCTCCCGAGCACGGGGCGCGCGGCCACTGGCCACTGGGCCGTGAGCACCAATCGGAGCTACCGCGGCCACGGTTGCGCGCGAAGAACCCCCCCCCCTCCCACCCACCCCGCTACCTCCCCCCGCTGGCATTTGGCATTCGATCCCCAGCAGCGGAAAGCTTGGAACCACCACCCCCCAGCTCGTCTGCTGGTATTGGTCTGGCACCTGTTCTGGCAGCATGACCATGACCATGCGCTGGTGGTTCGCACCTGCGCGCGGTGCACCTAGCAGCCGTCGAAGCGGCACCGACCGCGGCCGATGTGGTCGAAGGTGCCCGTGTGCGCCGCCTCGTTAAAACATCATCGGCGGCCGCCCGCGACTGGGCGCTCCGCCCGCGCGTCGGGCGCGCCGCCCGCAAGCGTGGCATGCGCGCTGCCACGCGCGCGGCCCGCAACTGCAGCCGCGCGAAAGCTCGGGCGCGCGGCTGGCAGGGGCGTCGGGTGCCAAGCAAGGCCGCCGCCTGCAGCCGCAGCCGCGGCGCCCCCGTCCAGCGGCGCAACCCCCGCGGCGAACGCATACATGGCGGTTTCGCCAGCATCTGCATGCGGCATCGCTTCTGCGCCGATGGCCAGCGGCGACGGCCTGAAAAAATGTTCGGGTCGACGGGCGCCCGAGGAGGTGGCGGGGGCAGCCGAAAGCCGCAATGGCGGGCGGGCCGCCCTGACCAACTCTCTGGGTTCGCGCCCCAGCGCCAATCTATGTCCGCCAGACCCGAAGGAGCGGCCACGCACCACCCACCCCAAATAAGCCAACACCCAGGCACAGCGATGGCCTCTGCGCGCCCCGCTGC